AAGTTCTCCTCGTCGGGCGCGGCGAGCACGAGGCCGTTGAGGCACAGGAGCTGGTCGCCGGGCTCGAGGAGGCCCCGCGCGTCGCAGTCGGGCGACACGGACGACACGAGGAGCGTCCTAGCCGGCGGCGCCCGGGGACCGCAGAAGTCGTCGGCCGTCTCGGCGTCGGCGGCGTTGTCGTGGGAGCGCACGCGCCGGTGGCTCTTCGACGCCGCCCGCTCCGCCTCGAGCGCGCGCTGGCGCCGGCTCTGCTTCGCGGCCGCGCGCGGGTCCAAGGGCGGCGCGGACGACCCGTCCGAGTTCGCGCGGCGGTGGCCCCGGAAGGCCGCCGCGGCGAGGCCCTTGGACGCGGCCTCGGGCGAGTGGCGCGACCGCCGCGACACCAGCGGCGGCGGCGGCGGCGGCGGCGGCGGCGGAAACCCCGGCCGGCTCCGGGGGTCGCGGCCGAACGGCGCCGCGCCGGACGCGGACGCGGGCCCCGACACCACGTGGCGCACGAGGGCGAGCTTGATGCCCAAAGGCCCGCCGCCGAAGTCCACATCAAAAGACCGCGCGCGGCAGAGCATGGACGCGAAGAGCTCGCGCGCGTCGCGGCGCCGCGTGAGCGCGACTTCGAGCGGCGTGAGCCCCGCGTGGCACCGGAGCCGCGCGGCCCGCTTCGCCGCGTCGTCGGCCTCCTGTTCCTCGTCGCGCCCGTCGTCGGCGGCGGCCTCCAGAGACGCGGAGGCGCAGCGGATGAGCGCCGCGAGCGCGGACGCGTTGCCGCACGCCGCGGCGACGTGGAGCGGCGTCGCTCCGATGGCGTCCGGCGCGCACGCGTCGGCCCCCAGGCTCACCAAGAGCTCGACCATGCCCGCGCGCGGCGCCCCGAAGGCGCCGTCGCGCGCCGCGGCGACGTGGAGCGCGCGCGCCATCGTCGCGAACGCGCCGACGTGGCCGCCGGCCGCGCCGTCCTCGGCGGCCGCGCGGACCGCGCGCGCGTCGCCGAGGGCGATGGCCGCGTGGAGCTTGAGGACGCTCCGCGTCTTCGGGTAGAGCTCGATGGCCGGCGCGGGCGCGATGGCGCCGAGGTGCGCGGGCTTGGACGCGGTCGCGGCGAGCGGAGGCGGCCGCGGCGGGCCGTCGGCTTCCGGGTGGTTCCGCGCGTGGCCCTCCTCGGCCCGCGACGCGAAGGCGGCGGCCGCGCGCGCCGACGCCGCGCTGAGCTTCGTCGACGACGGCCGCGCCGGGCCCGGCTCGCCGAGGAGCGCCGCGAGCGACGACGTCTCGGCGGAGCCCGTCGTGCCGTGGTCGCTCTCGGCGCCCGCGACGGCCGCGTCCAGCGCTCGCTGGAACCGGAAGGTCGCCAGGTGGTTCGCGATGGCGCCGCCGGCGTCCTTGCTCCAGCCCAGGGGCTCCCGGTCGCTGTCGCCGTCCTCGGAGCTCTCGAAGTCGCGCGCGGACGACGACACGGACGACGACTTGTGGTCGCGCCGCTTCCACCAGCGGCGCGCCTCGCCGTCGGACTCGGGCCCGTGGCTGCCGTCGCCGTCGCTGTGGCTCGAGCCCGCGGAGCTGCCCCGCCGGTGGTGGCGGCCGGCGACCGTCGCATCGCCGAACGCGTCGCCGGGATCGCGGCGGCCGTCGTCCGCGCCGATCTCCGCGAGCGCGTCCAAACTCAGCCGGCTCCCGAGGCGCGCCTCGTCGCGGCCGAGGTAGTCGAGCATGCGCGTCGTCGCCTCGAGCGCGAGCTCGCGCTCGCGCGCCTTCTTCTCGTGGTCCCGCTGGAGATCGCGGATCCGCGCGACCTGCTGGAGCCGTAAGAGCTCGAGCGACGTCTCCGACGGCCGCGACCCCTCCAAGTCGCCCTCGGACGCCGCCGCCGCCGCCACGTTGGGCGCGGCGCCGAAGCCGCCGCCGACGCCCGCGCCCCGGCCCTCGGCGGAGAGGCGCGCCGCGCACGACCACGCGTACAACTTCGCCCCCCGGCTCCGGAGCGACCGCCACCGGGGCAGCCGCGCGGCGTTGAGCGACAGGTCGATGGGCTGGGGCGGGCCGAGGTGGCTCAGCATGCGCGCGCGGCCCCCCGTGTCGCTCTGTTGGAGCGGCTCGGACCGCGACGCCGCGCTGCTGCTCGTCGCGGAGCTCGGCGCGGACCGGCGGGCGGGCGACGGCGTCGCGGCGTCGCCGGGCCTCCGGCGCGGCGGCGTGCCCTGGAGGCCCTTGCGGCTCGAGCTCTGCTCCGGCGACCGCGGGAGCGGCGGCGGCGGCGCCGCGTCGTCGTCCTTCTTCTTCGCGAGCGCCGCGTGGTTGGGCCGGGCGCCGCGCGCCACGTCGCCCGCGTTCTTCCTCAGCGCCATGACCGCGTGGCCGTCTTCAGCCGCGGTCGGGCCGCCGCCGGGGGGCGGCAGAAGGAGCAGGGCCATCGCCGCGCAGCGCTGGCGCCGATTGAGTGGTCTATGCGGGGTCGCGGCCGCTTCTTTTCGTCTTTTTTTGTTTTGTGTGTGGTTTGGCTAATCCGTCCGTCTACTAGCAGGTCCTGTGCGCGTCTATTGACGTCTGGCTGCAGCAGGCTGCAGAGCCTGAGAGCAGACGCACTGTACCAAGAGCCCAATGTTTTGAGGATGAGGAAGAATTTTTTGGACCCCGTGGATCAACTACTGAGATACATGGTGAAGTGACGTCGCAAACCTCTCGATGACGCGTCTAAAGACACGTCAAGCGCCACACCTTTAAAAAACCCTCACCACGCCTCCTCGCTCCGCCGCCGCGCCGCGCGCGCCTTGGCCTTGTCGACGGCGTCCTTCTCCTGCTCCTCGCGGAGCCGGCCGAGGCGTC